TCTTGGGTGCCCTAAGGAAGGCCACCACACAGCAGAGAGTATGTATACAGAGGTTTGGGATAATGGTCAGAAGGCCTTGCTCGTCCTGGAAAAGGCCCTGGGAACAGAAGAAGGAAGAAGAGTTGACCATAAGGCAGTCCAGCACTGGAGAAAGTCTTGGGCTAGGCCCTACCTGGAGTGGGAAGGCGAAGGAAGCCAGCAGGGTTTTTCTGATGGGGGAACTTCTTTCAGTGCAGATCATTAACTTGAGTTGAACAAGTGGCTTAGGGGCACTGAGAGGTTAAGTAACTTACTCAGGGCACATAATTTGTGTCAGAGCAGGGACTTGCACCAAGTAGGCCTGACTCTTCATTATGCTGTTCTGCCTCTTTGTCTTGACTTAAATTGAAGGGTCTTAATTGAATTCATTGATTTCTGTATCTCTTAATCTCTTGAAATAGGTATTGATGCATAAGTTCAAGCCACTTTTCACCCTCCTTCCTTATCTCTCTCTCTTTTTTTTTTTTTTTTTGATGAGGCAGTTGGGGTTAAGTGACTTGCCCAGAGTCACACAGCTGGTAAGTGTTATGTGTCTGAGGTCTTATTTGAACTCAGGTTCTCCTGACTCCAAGTCAGAGCTCTATCCACTGTGTCCCAAATCTGTATATCCGACCCCAGTTTCCGTACCAGGCCTATATCATCCAAGCTTTTTGGACTTTTTGTACTAGTTGTTCCAGCTTGTCCAAAACAGAACTTGTGTTTTCATGTTTCCCTCCTTCACTCCTCCCTGGGCCCCAATCCACCCATCTTCCAAAGTTCCCTTTTTCTGGTGAGGATACTTCCATCTTTCTGTTCACTCAGGTTTGTGACCTTGTAACCATATGATAAACCTTCAAGCAAAAGCTGGGTGACAACTTATCATAATTAATAGAGTAGATTTTTCTTACAGTAGTGCCTTATAAGGGCCTTTCTTTGCTCTGAGTATAAGAAGTCTAATTCCTTTTCACGTAATAGCCTTCATCTACTTGAAGACGGCTTTCTTGGCTCCCCTTAGTCTTTTCATTTTAAAATATATCCAGTATTTTTGACTGGATATTCATATAGCAGTCTTCTCATTATCCTGGTCACCTCCCTCTGGAAATGCTCCAGCTTGTCCATGCCATTCCTAAAGTCTGGCACCCATAACTGAACATAGCACTACATATTTGATCTCATTAGGGAAGAATGTGATGGGTGTACTAACTTCTTCCTGCAAGATACTAACCTATTATTAAAAGCACCTAAGATTGTCTAAGGGAATAAGGCTAGTCAGATGTGACCTGTTGTAATAATCATGCCAGCTTTACCATTCTCTCTCTCTCTCTCTCTCTCTCTCTCTCTCTCTCTCTCTCTCTCTCTCTCTCTCTCTCTCCCCCCCTCTCTCCCTCTCTCTCTCTCACTCTCAGTGTTGTTAGTTGACAGGTAGATAAGGGGATACATGGATACAATATCTAGATTTCAGCAACATATTTGATAAAATAATTGGACAGATTTAGAGATGTGAGCCAGGGGTTCTGTGATTAGGTAGATTTGGTTGAATCACTAGATCTAAAGAATCAAATGAAGGGTTTGGATTTGATGGCCTCTCAGGTCTGTGCTAGTGCTCAGATCTATAATTCAATGATCCTATGGGTTGATGTATTCATTGACTTCAATGAAAGGAATAGACAATATAGCTATTGTTTTTGATGATACAGTTAGCATCCAAGGACATCTTGACAGGTTAGAATGATGGAGTAAATCTAATGAAGTGAAATTTAATGCATATAAATGCAGATGCTAATATTTTTCAAAACTACAGGAAAACATATTTATTGACCCTCATTAGGTATACTCCATCACTCATCAACTACCAAATACAGATTACTTAAATGGAAGTTTGGTAATCATGGCCTCATCCTCCAATCAGAGAGGCAGAGGGTGGGGATAAGGTAGAGTCCCAAGGCTGATGAAATCTTGCAAGCTGATGAGGTTATTCCCAGTATTGGGATTGGAGCATGGTGGAGCATTCCTGGAGCATGGTGGAGATGTCCATCAGGGAAGTTCCAAAGTAGCATAGCCAGGTGAGAAAGGAGGAGATGTCTGAACTGAACTCTCAGCTTAAATGGAGGTTTGGAGTGTCTCAGTGGAGAAATAAGGAGGGAATATAGTCCAGTCATGAGCTTCAGTCCAGAGAAAGGTGTAAAGTTGTGATATGAGGAATGTTGAATGCAGGGGAAAGCAGGTAGGCCAGTGAAATTGTAATGTAGTGTGTGTAAAGCCTGGAAAAGTGTAAAATGAGGGGATTGGATTTGATGGCCTCTCAAGTCCCTTCTAGTGTTCATGATTTATGTATGATCTTGACTTCAGTGACTTAGATTCAGATGGTATTTAGTGGTATAGGTGGTATTGTCACTGGATCCAGATTGTGAAGGGCTTTAAAAGTTGAACAGTGAAATTTGTAGTAGTAAGTAGTAAAAAGGAGATTCAATCCTTATTGTTCATTTTTCTATTTAGTTGTACCCTGCCTCACATTGTTACTTAATTCTTTAATGTGTTGATTCTGGAAAGTCTTTGTCTTCCTGAATGTCTGTCCTAGTGCTTTAGATATAAAATCCTTTTTTAGTATTTTAAGGATTTGTCATTTCATTGGTGTGGATGTGGCCTGTACTGATGCTAATTATAACCCTTTTAGATGATCTTCTAGAGTTTCTGTAATGAAAATAATTGATCACCCTGTGGCTTCTTTTGTGATAATGCCTTCAAGCCTAGCTAGACTGGTCCTAGAACAACAAACATACAGTCCATGCGTGCTCTCACTCTGAAGCTTTTCCAACTGGATAGGACTTGCCGGGAATTGATACTCCACCGGCAGTTTTTTCAAGAAACAGTAGCCGCTTCCAGACTATAAGAAGGAATCAGAAAGGGACTTCAGTGGAGGTTACACAAAACAGCCTCTTATCACAGAATATCGGACTTGAGAGTTGGAAGAGACCATAGCAGGTATCCCATACATTAAAGGAATCCCCTCTGCCCAACAAGTGGTCATGTAATCTCTTTTCCGAGCCATTCAAGTTCTGACAGCTCAGAGTTTTAGAAAGTTTTCCTGACATCTAGCCCATATTTGCTTCTTTGCAACTTTTACCCATTGCTCTTGGTTCAGGCAAACGAAACAAAAAAACTACCTGACAGACTTTCAAATACTTGTAGGCAGCTCTTAGAAGACAGCTTTCATGGATCCCCTGAGTCTTTACTTCCAACCAAATATGTCTAGTTCCTTCAGCTAATTCTTTTATGTTATAGATTCAAGGCCCATCTCTGAGCATACTTTAGTTTGTTAATGTCGTCTTTAAACCATGACACCCAGAACTGAGCAAAATACCCCAGATAAATTCTGACAAAAGCTGAGTGTAGTTGGATTATTAATTCCCCATTCCTGGAAGCTGTGCCCCTTTTAATGCAACCCAGAATTGCATTAGCTTTTTTGGCTACTACGTCATACTGCTGACTCATTGAGCTTATGGTTTTTTTCTTAAAAAGTTGTATGAGATGATCATATTGTCCTTTCAAGATACGTTATAATTACAAAAAGGTTGTATTTTTTTCTATTTAATCTTTATCAGTCTTTCAATACCTTTTCTATGCTCAGCTGGGTCTTATAGCTTATTTGCAAGCAACTTTGAAATACCCTTTAATAGTATTTAAGTGACCCTTTTATCTTTTAGCTGTATGTGAATATTCTAACTCCACAAGTTGCAGTACTGAATTTTTACAGACAACAGAAGATGGCAGCATTTCAACATGAAAAATTATGTATTCCTTCGAATACAAGAATGCAACACAGCTTTCCTAACTTTTAACATTTTGAATCTAATAAGGGCTTTTCTAGATTGGAAAATTGTGAAAAAAAATGGCATTTTAAAAAATATTCAACTTTCTCTATTTCCATGAGTTCTGCTTGATCTCAAAGGGCAGAAGAAATGGCTGCAAATTTCAGAGAGACAAATTTAGATTTGATGTCAGGAAAAAGCTAGCAATTACAGCTGTCCAGAAGTGGAATGATTTGTCTTGAAAGGTCTCCAAGTATTGAGATTATGTTGTTGTAGGGATTCTTCCTTTATCATTTACGTTCAGTGGCTTTTGAGGTCCCTTCCAATTCTGAAAAATCTTTGAAACTCAATTAGCAGGGGTGGGTGCTGCTGTAGATAGGTAGATGGATAGATAAAGTGAAGATAGGAATAATGAAGTGCATTTTATTTCTTTGAAACACCTAATAAAATCATTTGGAATCAGGGGTGGGGTAGTGAGGAAGGTGCCAAACCTTAAGAGCTTTGAGGCAATTGGTAATCAGACAAGAAAGCTATCCCAGCATTTGTAGTCTATAGTTGCTAAGGACCAAAGGAAAATAATTGGTGTAACCCATGGATCAGAAAGGAGATGACTTGGTAGATGAAGGATCAGGAGTCAGTTCCAATGGGAATGGGAGAAAGCAAAGAAATCATCTAGTTCACAGGTCTTTGTATGTAGTAGGCACTTAATAAATGTTTCTGGAATAAATGAGAAAGAAGCAGTGAGAAAAGAAAATGAGAGCTACCACAATAGATGAGGAAGCAAGTTTTGGAGAAATAAGAGGGAAATAATGTGGGGAAGAGGTAGTGTAAGTGGGGAAATGGACGTTTCTCCCGAAGACGATGTTGGGTACAAATGTGTCTCTCTCTAAAATATTAAGATTTCATTCCCTTTTTTAGATCACATACAAGTTTTGAATCGGAACTGACTTTATCAGCTGGTTATTGCTTTTATTTGAAGAATAAAAATTGTGTTTTATATAAGTGGTCAAATTTTCTTTTGCTTTATTAACTTGAGAGCTAAAAATCACAGGAATGAATGAAGAAATCATTGCTTTCAAAGATCATATTTGCAAATGCTTCTGGTTTTTTAAAAATAGAAACATGTACTTTGTAGCGCCTTGTATTCATTTTTATGTAATTTTTTTTTTTAAGTATTGCAGGCTGCATGTACCAAGTAGTTCAGACAACTGGCCTGGATGGAAAAAATCTTCTGAAATTGCTTCCAATTCCTAATTCTTCTGGAAACCTTATGCCACTAGTTCAATCTTCAGTCACATCTGATACTTCAAAGGGGAATATATCAAATCCAGTTCATGTTACTATTCAGACTCAACTTGCTAGCACTCCTACAACTGCCTCCATTCAGTTTCCTGTTTTTCAGACAACCAATTCTGGAAATTATTTCCTTTCAAGAGCAGTTGATAAATCTGAAAATGTTAGAGTAGCCTCTGTGGGGAAAGAAAGTTTGCCTTCAGCTTCAACAGCTCAGAATAGTGCTATGAAAGGTGAAAAACTGGCCTTGCAAAAAATTGCTGTTTCTCCCTCAACTACTCAAGGTGACACAGCATACATGTTAGTAAATACTAAGAACCTCCCAGTGACTGTGAAGTCTCCTGTATTACCATATGGGCACCATTTACAGATTCCAGCCAATGCTGAAGTAAAATCTGTACCAGCATCGTCTTTGCCACCTCCAATTCAGCAGAAGATACTTGCAGCTGCAGCTACAAACACCTCAGGAACAGCAGAAGCTTCAAAGGTACCAACTGTTATTTATGTGTCTCCAGTAAACACAGTAAAATCTGTAGTTTCTAAGACCTTTAAAAATATTTGTCCCAAACCTGCAAATGCTACAGAAGCTGCAAAGCCCATGGTTCTAAACACTTCACAAACACCAGTGAAAAATCCTGCTACAGATGTATCTAATAATGAAGGCCAGCAATCTCGAGATACGCCAATGAAATGGGTTGTACGAGAAAATCCACAGTGTTCGCCTTGTCTTGTTCCTGTCAAGTCTTCAAACAACATGGCTTCAAAAATCTTAAAAACATTGATGGATATGAAGAATGTTGAAACTAGTTCTCTTGCTATGCCTTCATTATGTTCAGGCACTTCTAGTGGAACTCAAGCAAAAATTACTCCCATTAAAGATAATGCTTTGGTTATGTTTAATGGGAAAGTCTATCTGCTGGCTAAGAAGGGGTCAGAAGTTTTGCCATCTCAAACTGATCAACAGAATTCTGCTGCTCCTGATGCATCATCAAGAAAAGACATATCACAAATACCTAATTCCAACTCAGTCACAAAAATCACAAATGAGGTTGTAAATATTGTTTTGGCAAAAAATAAGACTGCTTCCCCCAAGGAGACAAAATTGATTTCGGATACACAACTTGCTTCTGGGCCGAGTCTGGAGAAGAATAATAAAGTGGAGTGTACTTCTCTTTCTGCCCAAAGTTCACATAAGCAACCCCTCTGTCTAGAGCAGTGTAAGACCATGCACATAAAACTAAACTTACCAAATGTGGTCAGTTCAGCGCAAAATGCCAAAAAAGAAACAAGTGTCAGCCACACGAAAGATTCTTCTGATGATACAACTATTACATCAAAACACTGTGTTTACGCAGATCAAGAACCAAAGGTAAATCTTCCCAAGCCAAGCATATGTCTAGTATATTTCTTTGCATGCGTATCGAATTTTTTTTCTCCATAGGGCAATGATTGTCATCCATGTTGCCTTTTTCTCCCTCTACAGAAACACTGGATGAAGTACTGATTTTGAAATTTATGAAATGTATTTTGTAGCAACCACTGGGGTTGAAGCATGCAAATAACCTGAGGGAACTGGGAGAGGAGAGTGTAATTGACAAGTCCATGCAGAACCTTGCAATGGAATCACTTTTACTGAGTCCTAAAAATAAGTACAGGCACTTTGGTCTGGAAGAGCTTAGGATTGACATTGCTTATTCAAAGCATAATTAGGTATTTTATATTTTAACCATAACTCTGATTTTAACATTAGAAATTATTATCATTGTATGTTTAGAATTACTTTTATCTTAGATTGTGTTTTTTTGAGAAAAAGATATTGTATTGATTTCTTAAATCAGTCAGTAGAAGGAGGCAGTTAGCTACTCTTTTCTCATTAATCTCTGCTGGGCCAGTCAATTCCTCAGTCCTTAAGTCACTGGTTGGTTCTATGGATAGATAGATATCCAGGGATGTGTGAATTAAGTGGCTCACTACTGCTAGTGCTAGTTAGGCAAATCCCCTAACTTTTCATATTTTCTCCTCTGAACACCTTTCCCTGTCTTCCTTTAAGCTCAGCACTCATGAACACAACCATTCATATACATAACATTTTTGGTACTTTCTTTGATTTTCTGTTTTTCTCTTCTGTAATAGAAGTTGTTGAATGGCTGGGGAAGTAGACAGCCAGGTTCTGATTGTTACTTGCTAGGCTGGTTAAGCAGGTCAGCTTTTCTAGATATTTTAATTTCCTGACAGTGATGAATTAATTTAATATTTCTTAACTTTGTCATTCACTTACTTTTTAATTTCATCTGTAGTAGTAGTAACAGTAGTGGTAGTAATTACTTGTTACTTTTTTGGTGTAGAATCAAGTCAGACTAGTAAAAATATAATTAAATGAGAAATTGCAGGGGACCTTTTAAGTTTCACACTGTGGAATTCAATTTTCAGAATGTGGGTGGTAGTGCAAGGATTTCCTCTACCTCGCCTAGCCATTTAGGATTTTAAAGCATGCTGTTCTCTTTTATGTAAGATGAGGTAATCACTTAATTGCAGGTCTGTTGAAACAGCTTGAGTAATTTACAGCATTGTTCATATGTTGTATTCTCCCTCTGATTTTAGAACCAGGGTGAGATGGCGTTTGTATTGGAGACACATACTCAAAGCAGAAGTCGAAAGGAATCACGTCGGAGGGAGTATGCTGAATTAAGAAAGAATTTTGGTATCACAAAAGATTTGAGAGTGCGCCTCACCCGAATTCCTCTGTTGGACTCCACAAGTTTATATTCTCCTAGCAGTTTGACAAACAGTGTTTCTTCCAAAGAGTCAAAGATTATTGTGGATCTAACATCAGGGAAAGAGGAAGAGAACCAGGAGGTAAACGAATTTTAAAATGTTCTTTGTAGGTCCCAAAAAAGGAACACAAATTTGTTCTTTTAATATTCTTAAGATTTCAGCTCTTAGGAAAAAATAATCAGAAAGTTCTTGCTTGTGTTTTTAAATACTTGTCACAAGAAATGGACATACATATCCCAAATTAATTTTTTAGAAGAATGTAGTACATGTAGTCTTTTAATGTATGTGATACTGTACCTTAGTGCTTTTTTTTTTAATCATAAAGCTTAAAGAGACACCCAGAGGTCACCTAGACCATTCCTGTCTCCAGGGTGAATTGTATCTAAAATTGTTTGTATAAATAGGTGTTCATCTTATACTTAAATTTTTTGTGGCAGCAAATTCAGCAGCCTCCCTCAGTAAAACTTTTAGGACCTAAAAAAGATTTTTGGCTCAATAAGGATAAGCTTTCTAACAATCATAGCTATCTAAAAGTAGAGTGCACTGCTTTAGGAAGTATTATAGAAATATCAGTTATTCTTTGCAGATGACATGAAACTAGAAAGGATAACTAATAAGTTGAATGAGAGGTTCCAAAAAAGTTCTGAGTTACATTGATTTTTAATTTTTATTTAAATTTTTATTAACAAAAACTTATATTCTCTCCATCTTAAGTCTCTCTTACCCTGCCCTCGCCCCATGGGATAGGGAGAGGAAAAACCCTTGTAACAAATATAAAAACTAAGCAAAATAAATTCTTGAATTTGTCGTCCCCAAAATAATCTGTCTCATTTTACACCCTGAATCTGTCACTTCTAGATCAGGAAATGAACAGTTTGCTTCATCAGTTGGTCCTCTGGAATTGTAGTTAGTCATTGGATTAATCAGAGTTCTTACATCTTTGAAAGTCATTTTTTTTTTTTACCATGTTATTATCGTATGATTGTTTTTCTGATTTATTCCTTTCACTCTGCATCAGTTCATGCAAGTGTGAGCCAGATTTAGTAAGGTAATATTTCACAGTTCAATGTAAAATCTTATAGTCAGTTTAAAAGAAATGACTTCCATAAATACAAGTTGGGGGAGAAGCAGCTGAACAACAGTTCACTGAAAAGACTTGACGCTTTAGTGGACAGTCACCAAAATAAATCAACAGTGTGATATGGTAATGAGGAAAGAAAATATGATCTGGCTGCAACCATAGGTGGCAAGGGAGATGATAGTTTGACCAGACTCTGGCACAGTCAGACTACACCTGGAGTAGCATGTACACTTCTGGGTGCTTCGTTCCAGGAAGTAAATGGACCAACCAGAGCACATTCAGCAGAGTAGGGTCAGGAGAATTAGGAGACTAGAAATCGTATCAAACAAAGATTGGATGGAGGAACTCAGAAAGTTAGTTTCAAGAAGAAAAAAACTTAACAGGAGAATGATAATTGGCTTGAAGGACTTTTATGGAATGGGAATTACACTTCTTTCGATTAGCTTCTGAGAGTGGAACTAGGAGATGAAAGTAATAGATTTTGATTCAATAAGAAAAAGCTTTTAGGCATAGCTGTCTCAAAGTAAAGTGGGCTGTTTCAGGAGGTCATGGGGGCCCAGTCACTATCAATTTTAACTAGAACTTGGATGACCACTTATTGGGATCATGTTGTAGAGTGGTTTCTTGATCCCTCCAGACTCTTGAGTTTCTAATCATTGCTTTCTTTAGGTCTAAAGTACATCTGTCAGATAAATATCAGAGGACATACCCAGAAAATGAAATAATCTGACCTTGGCATCAAAGACCTGTCTTTAGCATTTCAAGGGAAATGTGTAAGGTTATATATTCAATTTTCTGCTCTGCTTAGGAGCAGAGTATCCCAGAGTGAACCCAGCTCCCAGTGATCCAGATACGTTCCACATGAGTGCTGGGGGAGGAAGAGAAATGATCATTATGACCTGTCAAGTTATTTTACTGCTTATTGAGGATGAGACAATTCTTCACATTCTCACTTTCATTTCTCCTCCCTCTGCTTTTCTTCATGCTATTCCCATCCATAGAAGAGGACGAAATTAAATTAATTCATAAAATTTTTTAGCAAACACCATTGCTTTGTTTTGGTCACAGTCATTTGAGTTTATTATGAAAATATAGACTAAATAATTACTGTCTAAGAATATCAATAGACTGTAGCTTATCTATTGTGTTACTATACATTAAAATGGATAATAGTCTTTTCTGTTCCTGCTATTAAAAAAGTAAACAGGAAAAGGAAAGAAATAAAAAAGATTTGTGGGGAGGCGGGGGAAGTGGAAGGCGTTATGCCCTCTGCATACCATAATCTGACATAGGTAGTAACAAGGTGAGCACATGGCAGACTGATAAAATTCAAGTCAATTTAATAAGCATTTATTAAGTGCTTCCTATGCTAGGTGTTCTGTTAGGCATACGTAGACAAAAAAGAAATAATCCCTTTGCTGAAGGACTTTACATTCTTTTGGGAGGAAACAACAAATATTCATTTGATTAATACAAAATATTTTTCCCTACTGTCAGCTGTGTTAAACTGTTAACATGATGTAAGTAATACCATTTTTGTTTTCTTTTGGGATTTAGCTTACATTACAACAGGACTTGGAGAAGAAAAGAAAAGCAAAAACTGTTTTGAAAGTGGACAGCACCAAGAGGAAGAAATTGGGGAATGATGTGAACCCATCTATGGACACAGGAACTGATTACACCAGTCCTCAGATTCTTAACAGTATTTCACCTGATTCAGCTTTATTGCCACAGAGTAATAATAATAACCTCATTGATTGCACGAAGTCCAGTGAAGAGAACTCTCCTGAGCTAGAACTACATGCTCAAGATGGCCTCGACAGAGGTACAGATAGTCCAGCCTCCGTTTCTTTTGAACAGGAGCCTCCAGATAGTCAAGATTGTTATATTGATGATAGTTTCCCTACCACATTGCCAGAATTGGATGAAACTATACGAGATGAAAAAATTAAAAGACTTAAGCAGCTACTGAAAGAAAGAGAAGCAGCTCTTGAAGAAATTCGTAAAAAGATGCAACAAAGTTAAAACGTAGCTGTTGACTTGAAAAGATCTTAATGAAGTGTTTATTTCCTCCTTGTCGTTTTGTATAAATTATTTAAATGTATAGATAATCTGAAAGCTTTTTTGAATCTAAAGCATTGTTTTTGTCACTGAGTTATTGAATGTGTTTAAAAGGGATAAAAGAGACTGAAGTAGAACTGTTTGTTCTAAGTAGTTCTAACTTGGAATATCTCAAATTTGTCTTAGATGTGATTTCTTTTTTGTAATGGAAAATTTGATACTTTTTTATAATTTTAATTTGAACTTTCCAACTCTAAGCTTGTACAGTTGTCATGTTGTGTCTTTTGGATAGTAATTTTCCAACAGTTAATTTTGATAAGACTCCAGAAATCCTATGTCTGGGAAGAAAATCTGTTCTTAGCTCTGCCACAAAATTCTCTAGATAACTTTGGGAAAGTTGCTTAATGATTTATGTGGTCTCCTTATCTGTAAAATGAAGATAATGATACCTGTTCTTCTACCTCACTCATATATTTAGGATTGGGTGATACATACATACATACGTATATTTTTTTACTCCATGGAAGGAAGGTATTAACAATCACAATATTTAAGTGTTAGAGATTTTTTTTCTTAAAGATGAGGAACTTATATTTTGTAGCTTTTACTGGATTGTTTAATGTGACCCAAAACATTTTTGAACCAAGCATTAGAATGTATTATATCCTTGAAGTGGGAATTTCCGTTATGATTGAACTGTTTCCTTTTTTTTTTTCCTTCTAAATACACCTTTTACCTGGAGTGGCATATGAAGCATAGGTTGATTAGCAACCATTCTTTAATGCATAGTCATTGCTTTGGATTGTAATAAACTATCTATGTAGTACATTTTTTAAATTACAAGAAAATATTTTATAGTTGCTGCTGAAGTAGTTATTGATTTTAGAAGAGCTTCAAGCATTGAGGGTGGGGAATACTGGAAGGTGTCATTTTTTACTTAATTACCAACAGATCCCTAAGAGGAAGAATTGGCTTTGGAGCCAGAAAAGTCTTAAAAAAAGATTTAAATTAGTGCTTACCATCAGTCACAGGAGAAGATTTCAGTGATAGTTTTAAACTTGACATTGAACAGCACCATTTGCATTCTTTTGCAGTGGTATGATGTCCCAAATTAACCAAGAACAATAGTAGAGTTAGGGGTTGAATCTTTCTGTCATCCTATATTATTTCATCTTTCTGTATCAATAAAAATCCAAGAAGGATAGTTTGTAGCATTGATGAAAAAAATTCCATTAATTTATAAAGGTTTAGGAAATTATCATGGGGGATATGGAGAGGGAGAGAACGTAGAAAAAGAAATGGTAAGTGTAGCAGAAAGAATGCTGAGCTCTGCCAGAAGATTTGGGTTTAAGTAAGTACCTCAGGTACTTACTGTAGCTCTGTCGCCATGAATAAGTCATGAAGTTTCTGAGGCCTGTTTCTCCATCTTTAAAATGGTGATTAGAATTGCTTTGCCTACCACAAGGTCGTGAAGAAAATGCTGTGTAAACTTTAAGTACTATATAAATGTAATTTTAATATTACCACCTTATATTTAGTTTTTGTAGAAGAGAATAGGAGGGATTGAAAATTTTAATACCCAATGAATCCAGTTTTTTTAACTTACAGTTTTGCAGAGACCACAAGTACCAATCCTTCTACCTCTGTGTTATCCTAGTTTTTTAGTCCTGTACTTCTTTTCCAGTTATGGTTGTCCTATCCTTCTTATCCAGCCCTGATTAACCTTTCCAAAACCTCACAGAGTGGGATTTAAAGTTGACAGCTGTAGGAGTCTCAGTCTGTGAGATAATTTTGAAGCTCTTGAAGCCCAGTGTAGGTTTCACTCTGGGATAGAGTATATGAAGAGAGCAGAAACATGACTCCTTTGTGTTCAACAAATGTACTTTTCTCCAGAATGTGGGAGAGAGGAATCAAACCAGAATTGGTTTAGGTATAGTTATAGTGTGATAACAGCTGGATTGCCAGCATTGGTGGATCTGCTACAGCAACAGTGAGTAAGGCCCAGTAGCAGTTCAGTGGATTGTACTTGTGTTTTCTTTTCAATTAACCTAATCCTTAGAGCCAGGGGGTTTTTAACCTGAGAACTTTACATTTCAGGGGTTCCATGAACTTGGACAGCAAAAAAAAAAAAATCTTCAATGTAATTAATTTCCATTGTAATTCTGTGTATTTTATTTTAGCCATTTAAAAACGTAATTCTGAGGACCAGACTGAGAAAGGGGTCTATGATACCAAAAAAAAAAAGTCTAAGAACCCCTGCCTTAGAAGCATTTGGAACATGGAAATGGTGTTTCAAAAAATACCCAGATTGTTCTGTGACTTTTTATATTCACATGTTCCCTCTAGCAGTGTAGATTAGTACTCATGAATGCCTGCCCATCTTGTGTTCGCCACAGGTGGTTCACCCAGAGTTCTGAAGTTCTTCTTTGAATTCTCCTTGCGTTTAGAGGCTACCAGTAGAGCACTCTGGTGATCTGTCTGTAATCCCTCAATCTCACCATGTGACTACCCCATTTTCCTCCTCCTAACTTACAGTTCCTCAGTAACGTCTTTGTCCTGTTCTTTGGAGCTTTTCCACCTAGTGATGAGTGGTTTTTGTCATGGCAACCCATGAAACAAAGTTGTTGTTTTTTTTTAAATGACTGATAAATTGTGCTAAATGTCCTTTTGTTATCACCTTGCCAGGCTTCTTGAACACTATTTAATGTGTTGAAATTATAACGAACAGAATCAAACCAGTAGGTTGAAAACAAATTATAACAAAAGCATATCTGTTAATTTGCTGATTATTGGTGTAATTTATATAACTCATAGATTCCATCTAATCAAAGCACATTTGTCAGGGTTCTCAGCCTCAAATTTCATGTTTGTCAACTACTATTTAAATACTTGTATCTCTTCACATATTTTATAATTTAATTGCCATTCTTAAACAAATACATAAAGGGAGGGACTGCATAATATGACTTGAAGCTACAGACATCTTAAGTATAGCATGTTTGAGATCCTTGCTTTAAATCATTTTGGGAAAACTGTTTATATATCAAATGATGTATATTCAGAAAGATTAAAAAGTGATGGGAGAAGGTAGTATTGGAGAACCCCAGATTATAATATGTAGAAGAAGTTTTTCCCCTCCTTTGGGCAGCTGATAGAATCACCCAGATAATAAAACTCAATTATATGATAATTATTCATCCGTGAGGAATTCAGGTACTCAGTCAGCAGCACTGATGAGTGCTTATTATCTGAACTAGAAAAATGAGTGTCTCTTGTGACATGATCTTTTGCCCTCAGTTTACAAACATGGTACTCCTCTTAGGACATACTTGGATATGTTTTTGCAGTAATAGTAGTAACCAACTATTTTCATGTTGATCTGATTACTTGAGAACAGACACATTTGAAAAATAGCATGCAGGAATTGTGCTGCAGTCTGTGCCATACAAAAGAAGTATGGGGTTTGCTAAAATTTGCTAAAATATTGGTGCCTAGTTGGAAAATGTTCACATTTTCTTGTTGCTTTTAAACAGAACTAGAATATTTATCCTGCTGTGAGTCCTTATCCTCATAGGTAAAAGTTTGCTTACTATACCTGGGAACACCAAGTAATCAACACATAGTGCTTTTTTTCTTGGAAATCTTGCCCATCTTCATGGCTTATTTGACTTTATTATGCTATTTTCTCTAGGTGAGCCCATATATCCAGTTTCCTGGTGAGTTTGGAATTCCATATGGATTGCAGGGATTCATTAGGGGAAATTTTGTTGTAGCAGGGGTTCATTAGAGGAAATTTAGGATGCCTTTTAGAATAAGGACTTGAGATTTTCCTGGACCTTTAAAGAGATCACTTCTGGAATGAGACTCTACCTCTCCTATGAGAAATTTTGGTATTCTTGTATAGAAAGGAGTATTTGGAAATTTATCCAGACTCTAGTTTGCCTTATGCATTGAGGGAATTATGGAAGAGTTTGTGGTTTCTTATCAGAAGGTGAGGGGAGAAGGCTTTCACCTCAGATCTCTAATCCTTGTGTGGAGAGAGTTCCATATGCTTTGAGAATGTGATTGGAACTTAGATTTTCTGAGATGAGTTTCATTTTCTTCAGAAGTTTCTCAATAATTGAACCCACTTTGTGAATGTGGGTCCAGAGCAGAGGAGGGAAGGTGGCATAGTGGAACAGAGAGAGTGAAATACCATATCTCTCCCCCCGCCCCCCACACACACATCTACACCTTGTTTGTAGTCACTAAGCCTACTTGATTTAGTTTCCTACTTGAGAGTGAGGGGGTGATGAGTCCTTGACTCTAAATCCAGATCTCTTGAGGGAGCGCTCCACAAGGCCTGAGAGCCTCTGTGAGGTCCAAATTTCCTTCCGAGATATGGAGCCAGTTTTCCTTTTTTAATTTTTTTTTTTTTTGCCTTTGAGAATAGAAAGCCCATTCAAGCATGGAAACAGGGAAGTATTGATTACTAAGGAAGCAGTAATTATTAGTAAGCTTTATGAAATGTTCCTTATTTGTTGAATCTACATAACCTTGTATATGAGTACAACGGTGATAAGTTTGTACCTGTGAGACTGCGTAAGATTGTTCTTAAGTGACTTTTTTGAGACTCTTTCCTATATGATACTGGGGAATCAAGTGAAATGACAATACTCGTGCTTCCCCAGAGACCCTGGAGGACTGTACTGTTTTGGGGAGATGGAAAATTTGTTCCAAGATAAACCCCTGCCTATTGGCCAAGAATGACAAATTTTTCAATAAGAGGGGAAAAACAGAATGGGTATCTGGCTCATGTGCAGAATGTGAGTAATGTCTTTCTTTCACACACACACATGGCAACTGGGGTTAAGTGACTTGCTCAGAGTCACACAGCTAGTGAATGTTACATGTCTGAGGCTGGATTTGAACTCAGGTCCTCCTGATTCCAGGGCTGGTGCTCTATCCACTGCCCCATCTAGCTGCCCCAGAGTAATATCTTTCTGTGGAGAAATTAGGATCCTGCTTCTGGG